TTATCATTCCATCATTTCTTCAAAGGTGTTCACCTTATTCTTTTAGTTTCTGGTTTTATAGGATTTTAAAGTATCATCATGAACATTTATTGACACCACAGGGTGGATGTGGCCATTTCACTGACCCCAGCTGTCACTCTAACCAGATTGCTTTATCAGTGTCCCCAGGTTCCATCACCTCCTCCAGCTGACAGTGTGGCACAATGATCTCAGACCCCACCTGCCTTATGGATACTGTCTTTGCTCTCCTCTCTTTCCCTGTCTTGTTCTGGTGCAACAGCTCTGATGTCACTCCCTTCTGTTCCTCATGGATAAAAGGAAAGTAGAAGATGGTTTCACCTCTGGGTCCTTCATAATTACTTAGCTGACGTAACAGTGGATTTAAGCTCTCTAATTAGTACATTCTTATCCCCTTGGATCACCCACCCTGATCAAATTTTAAAGACTTTCCTGATCCTGTTCCCTCAATCTCTTATCCCACCCTGCACATGACAGGTGATAGTCAGGTAGGAGGGCCCAGGTTCTTGTAAACATGGCCCCTAAATTTTGTGCGTGAGATAAAAGACTCTCAATAAGTTTCCATGGTCACAACTACTAAGGGCACATGAGTAATATCAGATGACTGTAGGTGTAACATGAAGGTTACAAATAATGCCCAATTACTATCCCATTGTCTCCCTCTCAAGAAAATATATTATTAAAAAGAATGTAAATTAGGGTGACTTTTATATGATAATCTTGACTCTATCATAATTAGTTTATAGTTAATGTACTCAAACACACCAGCATTTTAATTATTAATAACATTAGTCATTATTAGAGCCATCTTTCCAATGGTTCTTCCATGCCAGTCTGCCTGACACCATAGCCAGATGCTGGTTTGTCCAATCTTGTTTGCCACTTCTAATCAAAATACTGTATCTGCCTGGTATACTGAATAGTGAGCACCACACACTTTAGGTCGTGGTCATATTGAAAGAGAGAGAATGAAAGAAGCAGGGTGAGAGGATGAGAGAGTCGGCAGAGCTAAAGCTGAAAACTCTCAACCATTTCCTCCTTTCAAAAGAAGAAGGGAAGCCAGGAGGTGGCTAGAGAAGGGGAGGAAGGAGTTTTACAAATATTGAGCACTTTAATTCTCAAAACCACTGTATGAATTAGGTGCTGTTATTATTCCACCTTACAGGCTTGTGAGTTAGGGCACAGCCTTGAATTCTAACCTTTCTGGCTCCAAAAGCCATTCCCCTGCAAGCTGGCCTCTGGGAGAACAATTTTCCAAAAAGAGTTTCCCTCTAGACTCCAGTCTACCGTGCTATTTTATTCCTAAATTGCCTCTACCTTCCCCTGGAAGGAATCCTAAGAGAGGAAGTCAACTCATTTCCTGTTATTCTTTCACTTTTCAACTGCTCTTAACTTCACCCAAATCAATAGACTCACATCCTTCCACTACCGCTTTTCACCGTCTGACAAATTCCAAATAGGCTGAAGCTCCCTTCATCAACCTTAATAAGTAAGTAGTTAGAAATTTAGGCAGGTTTATGTTTGTGTAAAACCTACTAGATGGATTTGTTGCATTAAAATAATCAGCATACATGTATTTTTCAGTTGAAAAATTTAAAATTCATTGCTTTTTTTATTCCAATTTTTATACTACTACTACAATAAGGCAAGAATAGACTCCAAACATTTATTTTTACTTATGAATAATAAAGTCTTCAAATATTTCTGCTTCAAATAGCTTTGGTAAATAAAATAACCAAATGCTTTAGTTGGCTTATATTGCTAAACAAATAAAACTGTAATAAAAATAAGGCTTCTATAATATATAGTATGATTTTATTCTAAAACAATGAAATGTCCATCTCTTTCCAAGTTGTGACAAATAGATACTTTTATCATGATTGTGTGGCAGTAAAGGTAAAACATATGGACTCTGGAGTCAGCGTATAAAAATTTGAAAACTGACTCTGCCCATTTTTTAACTGTATTTCTTTAGGAATGTTACTTGACTTCTTTGAACATCAGTTAGATAAGCAAATGTTTAGTACACTGTCCGATATATGCCCAACAAGACTTAGCTGCTATTAACCTGGAGGGAGTAATTACTATAACAACACCTCTAATTTAATTGGGAATTCTTGTAAAGAGAGAATAGTTCATTGACAAATTGCCTCCAAATGTAATGAAATTTTAATAATACTAAATTTAACAATTAATGAAGATGATATAGTGCATTTCAGAGACATTTAATTAAACATTTATTTTTTCAAACTTGCAGCTTTCTTTTAGTTTTCTGAGCCAATTTTTTTTCTTTCTGCTCTCACATAATTTTATTGGCCTTTGACAATAAGCCCTAAACACTATGTCTTTAGAACTCGGTAGAAAATGGCCTTGGCCAAGGTATATGAAACAGCTATGAACTCTAACCTTTCCAGTCCCAAATATTATTCCTGTGGTAGCCTGCCTCCTGGAGAACATTCTTCCTCTGCAAGAGTATGGAAAGGTTTCCAGACATTTTAGAAAGGTTACTAAACAGCAATTCAAAGAGGAGACTAAAGCAAAATCCCAGCTAACATTGATGAGCCAAAATTCTTAAATTACTTTTGGCTAAGTTCAGAGTTTGTACCAAAACCTGGGCCGACACTGACCCTGCAATTTGACACAAAGAGGAGAAATAATGATTTAGTAGAAGGTTGAAATTGGCATCAATCCAAGAAGGAATGTCATTTTGAGTAGAATGAGATTACTCCTTGAGAAACATATGAGTATGGGGTCATTTAATTCCAAAATGTTCGATCTTTTGTGCTTGGGGAATAAAATCAAGTTTTTACCTCAATATACAAAATGGACAAACTGTTATGTAATATTTCAAAGGGCTTGGATTTCAAGTACTGTTATTTAGAAAAACCTGTAAGAAGAAACATGAGAATTGTATGATGTTGTTTTTAAATTCTAAGGCAGTGGTTCTCAAAGTGTGGCATATTTTTTGCCATGTGGTCACTTTGTATGTGTGACCATAGGGCAAAAATATTTCAAAATAATACTAGGACACTTATTTACCCTTTCACTGTGGTTACATTTGCATTTTGAAAATCGCATTGCAAAAGCAATGGCTGGTATCTTAGCACAAACCAAGGCAGTAGCACTACACTGACCAACAGTGACTATATTTAAAACTCAATCAGAAGGAAAAAGAAAAATATTAAAAAAAAAAACAGTTTTACTCAAAAATTTTTTTGATGGTCCAGCTGGTGGCTCATACCAGTAATTCCAGCACTTTGGGAGGAGGATCCAAGGCAGGAGGATCACTTGAGGATAGACGTTCAAGACCAGCCTGAGCAACATAGGAAGACCTCATCTCTACAAAAAAATAGATTAGCCAGGCACGATAGCACGTACCTTGGGCCCAAGAGTTCAAGGTTGCAGTGAGCTATGATTGCATCAGTGTACTCCATCCAGCATAGGCAAAAAAACAAGACCTTGTCTCTAAAAAAATAATAAGAATAAAAATAAAAAAGAATATCCTTGATGAAGAGGTAAAAGTGTTATTAAATATCAATCAATCCTTCTGTGTATCTTTTAAATATTATTTATAATGTAATGGGAAATATGTATAAGCATAATGGTTGTCTCAAGAAAAAGTATTTACTTGAGTTACAAACTGAACTAGCCATTCATGGAACACCATTTTTGCTTAAAAACAACTGGAAACAGACTGTCGTGTTCATAGTTGAGAATTTGGCAAGCATTTTTGTAAAAAATGGATGTAGGAAGACTATTCAAGGAAAACAATGAATAAGCTTAATAAATTTCAAGCTTCTCAAGCTAAAATTAGAATTTTGGAAAATTTGTACCTGCCACCATGAGCTTGGCCTCTTCTCAATACTGAAAGACTATTCTGGTGAGATTGGTGGTGATATTAATGAATATGGTATTTTGAGATTACATAACAGAATGAGTCAACATTTGGAAGATCTGTATAATTTTGTGAACCATTATTTTCCAAAAGACAAATGCATGATTTTATGCATCTATTCAAAATGAAAACTAGACCAATGAATATTAATGTAACAGAGTATGAAAGTTCATCGATCTGGTCTAAGATTACACACTGCAACTAACTTCTGAAAAAAATCATCATTTGTCAAATTTTCATAGAGTAGCAAAGAAAAAATCCTCAATTATCTGAAAAGGCTATTAAAATACTCTGTGCTTTCCATTTCCATGTCTCCATAAGGCCTTATTTTCTTCATATACTTCAAGTAAAACAATCAATCACAATGAGTATAATGCAGAAGTAGATATGAGAATCTAGGTGTCTTTCATTAATCCAGATATTTAAAATATTTGCAGATATGTTTTAAATGCCGCTCTTCTCACTCTTTTTTTCTTTTAGAAAATAGAATTACTTTTTATAGGTCGGGTGCAGTGGCTCACGCCTGTAATCCTAGCACTCTGGGAGGCAGAGGCGGGCGGATTGCTCGAGGTCAGGAGTTCAAAACCAGCCTAAGCAAGAAGCAGGACCCCGTCTCTACTATAATAGAAAGAAATTAATTGGCCAACTAATACATATAGAAAAAATTAGCCGGCATGTGGTCATGCCTGTAGTCCCAGCTACTCAGAGGCTGAGGCAGCAGGATTGCTTGAGCCCAGGAGTTTGAGGTTGCTGTGAGCTAGGCTGACGCCACAGCACTCACTCTAGCCTGCGCAACAAAGCAAGACTCTGTCTCAAAAAAAAAAAAAAAAGAATTACTTTTTATAAAAAAAAGTCATTTATGTTAACATATGATGGGTTTTTATTAAATAAATTAGTAAGTAAATATCTTAAGATTTTCTTAGTTTTAATTTCTAATATGGAATATTAATAGGTCTACTCCACATAAACAGAAGTTCTTTGGTCCTCAATTTTTACAAGTGAAAAAGAGCCTTATGACTAAAACTCTGGAGAACTGCTGCCCTATGGTTACATGTGTTCTAAGCCAGTAGTCATTGTGACATCAGCACAGAGCCAATGACTGCCTTCAGGATTTCATGCGGTTGGCCATTGTTGCAGGGCTCTCTAGTTGGGCTGCCCTGTAGGAAGCGAACCACCTAAGAGTGCCTACTGTTGCTGTTGATGTTCTTCACAGGGCATTCTATGATGTTATCAGGAAAGACATCCAGCAAACAGTAAGAGAAAGACCATTTCATTTTGACATTATTTCTTCCTGTGATTCTAGTTATGTTTTCCAACACCCTGCCTCTTGTTTCACCATAAAAGATGTACAAACTTCACACCAAAAGGGTAAAAGCTGCTGCTGGGCAGATGTGGACTTCAAATCTCTCCAAGATCAGACACTCTCTTAAAAATGTTTACCACAAATGTAAGATTTGGCACCCACATCCATCCTATGACTGTGATCAAGATGACATTAGTTCCAATGAAGAAATGAATCTTACAATAATGCTTCAAGATGTTAGAGCTGCCCAAATTAAACTCCTCAGCCGAATGACTGACGTTGCGGGTGCAACATCAAAAATCCAGGAAAAAATTGACCGTTATCAGAAGCAGATGGAAGTAGTGGAAACCAGAATTAATGTTAAGGAAGACAAACAATCCACAGCAACTAAAGATATCCTCTCCATAAAAGAAGACATTGAGGCTTTGACAAAGAAGGTAACAGAACTGGAAAACCGGAATTCTTGCTCCAACATACATTGTTTAGAAGTTATAGACAGGGAAAAGGGTAAAGAAATCATAGAATTGCTTCACAAATTCATACAACCAGAAACTCTAAAGAACACATCAGACTCTGAAATTCCTTCATCAGGACCAGAGAAAGTGTCCAGTTATCCAAAGCAGACTGATCATCTTGGGGAAAAAACAATTTCTCCCCAAAGTCAAACTCTAGAGCAAAATAACCATCAAAATGTATCCAGAAGGTTTAAAAAGGCAAAGTCAAATATTTACATTTACCCAGACTTTGGTACATGGATCAAGCTAACTTTCGTTCATGGAGGGAAGTGGACCTTCTTCCTCAGTGCCACCAACTTAGAAGAATTCATCCAGTGGCTTCTTTCAAGGCCACCCATTCTTACTGAGGAGCCACAGTCCATAACCCAGAAACCTTGCCCATTCACTGGACCTATTGTAAGCTTGACCACAATCTGTCTTTCTGTTTTCAACTACATTTACTGCCTTTTTGGTTTCTCGAAAGAAGAGATAACTCGACTCTAGAGTTATTTTCTCCTTTGCTTGGTATGAAATAAATGTAACCTGGTTGTTCCAAGCATTCACACATCTCTGTGGTGGCTGTGAACTCCTTGGTAGTTTGCTAACTGTGGGCCCACTAGCTGCAAAGTTTCTACACATCTACAGTAAGTGAAGGCATGTGATATCATTGGAGTATTGTGGTCCATTTTCTGTCAACATTCTTCTCTTCTCAAAGGCAATTCATGAGGACTCATTCTGGGTCCATTTTCGCAGATGATTTAAAGCAAAGAATGAAGGGGTCAAGGGAAATGTGAAACACATTTGGTGGCCTCCAGGTCAGTTTTCTAGACACGTTTATCCTAGTGGTCTTTGTAGATAAGGTTTGTGATACCAGAAACATACTTCACTGACAAAATTTTAAACAGCATAGAATGAAAAAGATACCCACTGTAAAAGCTACTAAAGTTAGCATTCAAAAATGAAAAGGACTAAAAGAACAAGTTATTGTAAAGAAAACATTAATTCCAAAATATAAGCTTTTTCTTTCAACTTCAGATTCATTTCTATCAAACAATTAGATAAGACAGAAAAAGACTGAAGATGGTACCGGGTAATTTGTACATTTTCATGTAAAAATGAGACAAATACTATGTCCCTTAGGTTTGATACAGAAGAAAAAAGAAAAACTATTTGTGAACTAATTTAAATCTCAGCACTATAAAACCATAAACTCTTATATGACAAGGTTGTTTTTTTTTTTGTATAAACCATATATCCAGGGTAAGCTTCATTTTTAGACAAAATATGTGGTTGTCATTGTACTGTAACTTCTCTAAACATCCTACAGATTACCTGCAAGATAATATTTTCTGCACCACTTAAGGAATGCAATCTACCAACAGTCATTCCTTTGGGGTCATATGCTATTAAACTACAAATATTCTTGGTAAATTTACTACTTTTAATTATTCTCGGTTAATAATGTGAAAGGGAGGGTGGGAGTGAGGACTCACACCTGTAATCCTAGCACTTAGGGAGACCAAGGTGGGAGGACTGCTTGAGGCCAGGAGTTCGAGACCAGCCTGAGCAACAGTAAGATCCCATCTCTAAAAATATTAGAAGAATTAGCCAGGTGTGGTGATGACTACCTAGCTACTTGGGAGGCTGAGGCAGAAGGATTGTTTGAGCCTAGGAGTTTGAGGTTGCAGTGAGCTACGATAACATCACTGCACTCTAGCCAGGGTGATAGAGTGAGATCATGTCTCAAAAAAAATATATATAATATAAATAATAAATAAATAAAAATAAAAAATAATAATTTGAAAGGGGGAGCTTTGGCAGCTAGCTAAGAACAACCCAGTTTCAAAGAGGAAAAATGATATAAGGTGGGTATAGTGAAAACTAAGAAGTATGACCATAAGACACAATTTTGTCTGGTGCCAATCTGGGAGTAATTACACATCACAATTTTTTTCATTACAAATATATTTTATTTGATCCTTCTTTACAGTAATATGTATACTCTACCTTTTGAAATGTCAATATGTGAAATACCTAATAAAAGGAAGGGTATATATTAAATGAGATTTGTTTAAAAATGAAATAACTGTGCTTACAATATAAAGTATTGTTCTGGCAAAGGCACTAGCAATCTCTATGTGTTTATTCACCACCAGAGACATCCGTAAGGAACAGCCAGAGCTCTAGGTCTGCACACTGGGTGTGATCCTCACATCAGGAGAGTCATTAGGGGAGGCCATGACGTAGGCAAATAACGTCACAAATGGCTTCCGGAAGAGAAAAAAGAAACTCGCCAGTATACACCTGGGTCACCTGACCTTCTATATTACTGTCTGCTTTCATTTTCTCCCCGTCAAATACCCCCTTAGACAGCACTTAATGTTCCTAGAGAGGCAAATATAATAATTTAGGGAAAGAGCACAGGCTTAGGGATCTGAAGAACTAAGCTCTGAACATAAGTTCTAAATCCTACACTTACAAGTTCTGTTATTTCACAGCAACTAGGTTTGTTTTCTTGGCAGTAGAAAGGGAATCATTGGCCTGGCACAGTGGCTCACAATATAGCACTTTGGGTGGCTGAGGTGGGAGGATTGCTTGAGGCCAGGAGTTGGAGACCAACCTGAGCAACAGCGAGACCCCCATCTCTACAGAAAAAAGAAAAATTTAAGCCAGGTATGGTGGCATGCACCTTGTAGTCCCAGCTCCTAGGGAGGCTGAGGCAGGAGGATCCCTGGAGCCCAGGAGTTCGAGTTGCAGGGAGCTGTGATGATGCCACTGCACTCTAGCCCAGGCGACAGAGCAAGACCCTGTCTCAAAAAAAAAAAAGCAATCATTATATCAATTTAGTAAATATTTTCTTAGTGTTCACTAATAGCAAGGGATTGTGGAGAATAAACAAAAAAGCAGGAGACAGTCCTTGCACTGTAAACAATAACATTGAATGGGATAAATATATACACTGATAATTCACATGCATGATAGATGTGGATGGGCAGCAAAGAGCAGTATCAGAGATCTCTAGGACCAGAGAAGAAAGAGAGGAGACGAACCCTGGAGTAAGGAGATAGGGTAGGGAGGAGGTGGGGAAGGCAATGTAGCAGGCAGAAGGAAAAACAAACAAGAGCACAGGAGTGGGGACTGGCAGGGAACACGGTACATAAAAGCCACCTTGCATTATTATATAATTGTAAAGTACTGACAGGCCATTTTTTCAGCCCTTTATGGATCTCATTCTTCTTTTCAGGGATTCCCACCATGTTCATTTTAACCCTACATAAAAATGTTAGAAGGGGAGAAAATGACTCTACATGATTTTCTCAGAATCTCAAACTTTCCCTAGAGATGATTCTGTTCATCCTGTTAATGAATTAAGTTCCCTGTGAGGAAAGGGAGGATTTTGCTTCTGAGTCAATTATTTATAATCACCTGGGCAAGATCTCACACGACTTGTTAAAATTATAACTCAGCTTATAACTGCATGTGAGCAAATAACTTTTCCCCAGTCCTGGCTTTCAAATTCGCCTGCTCTTTCCAGCTCACTTCCATCCCTCCCGGCTCAAAGGAGTTGCTGTGTCTCTTGCCCATTCCCTTTCCTCACCCCAGGGCTTGCAGGGTCTTTATCAGTCATTCCCTTTCTTTCCTTCATCCTAATCACCACCGATCCATCAGTTCTTTGTACTCAGCTTGCAAAAGTACTCACTTGGTTGCCTTGTCCCTGTATTCCCCTTTTCCCCTGCCAGTTTCCCACCACCTTTTTGAATGAAAGGCTCACTTTCCCTGTCCTGGCCCTTCCCACTCTTATTCTCTTCATGGCTCATAGAAGCTTATCTTCCATAACAATGCTTTCTCTCCTGATTCTCTTCCCATCCCTCCACCAGATCCTTCTCAGTTTTCTTAGATGATTCCTCGGCCACTCACCACTCCCTTAAAATTAGGATTCTTCACTTATAATGACTCCCCAATGGAGGAATTGTTAATCCAGCCTCTCCTGGTACATCCTGGGCTTTTGTTCCAAGTTAATATTTATTACCTTACGTGTCTACAAAATAAAGTACATGCAAATATAATTAGATGAGTGTCTATAATGTATATAAATCAAACATGAAAACCATTGTGCATTCACTAAAACATCTTAAACCATTGTTGTGGCTGTTAAACACATTTATTGGGGAGAAAAGAACATTCAAAGAAGACTAGCTTTTGGAACAGCTATTTACTAAACATCTATTATGTGTCAGGCACTATGCTAGTTGGGTGTACAATGATGACCCTCAAAACTATGTGATTTTGGCAAATTCCTTAAGCCTTGTATTCAGTTTTCTCAACTGTAAATTGAGAACAATTTATGTCATGACACTGTTGTGTTAGTTAAATGAGATCATGTGTATAACCTGCCAAGAATAGTGCCTGACTTGGGAGGTACTTAACATATGGCGGTCATTTCCCTCCCTCTCTAGGCCAAGCGTTAACAGTGGGCATGAAGATGAACAGGGCATGGGCCCTGCTTCAAGCAGCTCACATTCAGGACTCTGCCTTCTTTTATCGTCTATAAAGGACTCCAGACAAATAACAAACAAAGTGACAAGCTAAATACAAAAGCTCCAAACCAAATCTTGACTCCCTCATCCAAAGATAGCATGATAAGAATAAGACAGGGTGTGAAGCTCTCCTCCTGGTCTGGGCACTCAACCAATATTCCATCATCTGCAACAGCCGCTCGCCAACCTTTAATTGCACGCTATGTAAATAAGCAACAAAAGAAAGGATTTGGAGGGAAGGGAAGTTGAGTTAAGATAAATAATTTAGTTCAGTTTGGAATATTGCATAGATACAGCCACTAAGAGCATTCCACTCATTTGAAAACAATATTCACCAACACTTACTGAAATCTGACTCTATAAGGAACTATCTGAGCTAGGTGTAAACAAATAGAGACGAAAAGAAACCATTCCTATTCTGAAGGAACATACTTTCAAATGTTCTCTCCAGTTGCCAATTATTTTGATCTGTTACTTAGATTTGAATTGGAAAAACACACAGTTTGTTTAAAACTTAATTGAGTCTTTCTGTGGGACACAACTCAAGTCCCATTTAGAAAAAGACATTGCTATTCCTAAAAGTAATGTTTTAAGGTGAATTTGTCGAGACACAAAAATGCAATTTTTCTATATTATTCTAGATTCCTTCAAAATGTAGACTGTCACCAATGTGTCAATGGATTATGCTCTGAAACTTCATTCTGAAATTCTTTGTTTATAACTACACTCAGAAAGCATATTACAGAGAAACAGTATTATTAGAGTTGGACTTTTTGGCCAACCTGTAAAAACTGATTGAACTACAATGTACCTGATATAATGGTATCAGTGAAACCACAAAGCCAAGTGTTTGTATACCCCCATGCCAAAGTGTATTCAGGAAAACAACTGCAAGACTGGTAGTCCTGACAGCTGGAAGAGCACCCCAACTCTCCTTGCTTTCTCTTTCATCTGAGAGTGGAGTGAAAATTCCATAGATTGATGGCCCTAGCAGAGGACACCGTGAAGAGCAGAGAAGAAAGAACAGGG